TTACTTACTACACACACACACACACACACACACACACACACACACACACACACACACACACACAGTAATGACAGTTCAATGGAAGGTTAATTACAGAAAAGGGTATGTGTTAAAGAGGTGCTTTTTGACTACAAAACACAACCTAAAATTATATAGTTTAATGTGGGGAAAAAAAAGAATTTCGACCTGAGTTTCTTGCCATAGATACTTGTTAATAAGTTTGATAGAAAAGAAAATGTATTATCTGGTTCAAAATTACTGTATCAGAGAATACGTAAACATACAAAGTAATACTCAAGATCTGTGACAGTTAGAAAGTTTTGGTTGATTTTGTCTGAATAGGATTTTTTTTTTAAACATGTTCCCCAGGGAGACATTTAGGATGCTGGGCACTTTATGCACTATCATTACTATTTAAAATCTGCACACTAGCTAAAAGTCTACAGAAGGATGTCACAGCAACTCTATGCCTAGTGTAGGCTTTATAAGTCTGGCCTTTAGCAAAGAGTCTGGTGATTGTATGGCCAAGTGACATGAAAGCGTGTGCTGTAACTGACACAAACAAGGGGACATTGCTTATGGACATAAGAAAGGCGAGCATATTGAAAGGTCTGATCCTGTTATATAGGAAATAACATTGTAATATTTGTTTTGAAATGTGCATAGTTTTTTTAGAGGGTGGTTAATACTGTTATTGCATCTAGAATCCATTGCAATTATGATGAAACAGCTGTCAGATCTATTGAGGATATCATTTATAGCAACAAATTCCTTCATTATGACCAAAAAATGGAAATGTATCATTCTTCTTATGCTAACTTTGTACAACAGCGGGTGCGTGGTAACAATTTTCTTAATGTCTGTGACATTTCCAAAACAAATTATGCTACGGAAAACCTTCCACTAAAGATATCATTTAGATAGCAGTCAACTCTTGTATTCTGTTCACAGCTTACATTTTGAAGTAGCTACACTGTTAAAATTTTAATAACCGGGACTCCAAAATATGCACAGCATTCCAGTGAGAAATTGGCTTATGGTTCCCATTGTGGTATCTTGTAGTATACATGGTGTTGTCATTTGCCTGATTACAGTTGAGCTGGTTAATCTCTGTCTTTCTCAAAATTGCAAAATACAATTAAGTTGGTAAACAAGATCACCAGGTCCATTTTCATCTCTCCTTTTTTCTTTTTCAGAAAGTTGCAAGAAACACAGATGTCGACAGCCTCGAAGCTGGAGGAGGCCGAACACAAAGTTCAAGCTTTACAAACAGGTTTGGCATTGCTGTTGTGATCTATACCAATGGCCAGGCTGGTGGTAGGATAAATACAATGAAAGGAAATCTGGACTGAGCTTGAACCAGATCTTGCAAGTCTACGTTAGGATTCAGGGGAAGATCCAGCAATGCTTAAAAATTGCCCTGCAAATCAAAGCTTCTGTTGGGCTTCTTAGTCCAGGGGCCTCAAGCATTGGTGGCATCTTGATCTCCCCCCCTGTTCTCTGCCTCTGGCACACAGCAGTTTAGTCCCCTGAAGATTGAAATGCTGTTGTCTAATCCAAATTATTGGGCTCAGTATAGCGGTAACTGGGTGAAATTTAATGGCCTGGGCCAGATCAGTCTAGATGATCTAATGGTCCCTTCAGGCCTTAAACTCTGTGTATCTGTAAAATAAATGCACACTTGTGCTCTAGCCAACTATTGGTGGCTGTAGTGGGTAAAACCTGTATAGTATAGTAGATACGTCGTTGGAATGTTCCTGCAACTAAAACAGGCCACAAAGCTGCTGACTACATCCATGTTTGCCTTTCCACATTGTAGTGCGCTCTGGTCTAACACACCCCTACTCTGTGCTATATATAATGGTCAGAATTCAACGTGAACCTTATTTCTGCTTCACATCAAGCAACCTGCTATTTACTTTGCTATTCATCCTTGCACAGTTATGTTTGCCAATCCATCTAAGGTAGGGCCCACTGGGTTCCCTTTTTCCTGTGAACACAAGATATTTAAATTTGACTCCATGGACTGATTGGAATAAATATTTTAGTTGAAGGAGCAATGAGAAATGAATAATGTCTAGCTACATTAAGCAGAATGGTAACTGGAAACTTTTACAATTCAAAAGAAACAGATTAAAAAATACAGAAAAACTAACTCTTAAAACCTTTTCATCATCGAAGTCATTATTTGTTTGGTCAGGTAGAATCCTTAATGCAAGATGATTTTTGAACAGGAAACAGTTTATAGTGGGATAAAAAATTGCGTAGCCCTTTTACATTGCACAAAGTACTGGTCTGTTACAGTACCAGTAACGTTTCAATGTTTTATGCCTTCTAGCCTTGGAAAAAACTCGGACAGAATTATTTGACCTGAAAACAAAATATGATGAAGAAACTACTGCCAAGTAAGATTTCACTATTTTCTTCTTACATATCTTCCTTTAGTATCCCACCTTCCTAATTTTGCATGTTATAACTGGAAAAAAGGATGAGATGGAGGTGGTTTTGAAGGAGAAATAAGTAGGAAAACATTGGCATAATTGAATATCCTGTACTGAGACTGATTACACTAGTGTGTCTTCCACAGAGTCCCTAGTTCCTCTCCTGTCTTGGGTGGGCAAGGCAGGAGGTGGTGTAACAGGACAGCGAGTGGGTGGAGCCTTGGTGCTGTCCCAGCTAACAAACCAGCATGCTAGAGGAACATATACTGTGTTGCATAAGGACTTTGGACAGTTTATTCCCTCCGTGGAGCAGTAGGGAGACCAGGAAGAAGATTGACTCTCCAAGTCACAATCTCCCTCCTGTGCTTCTCCAGGGCAACAAAACATTACCCCTTACACTGGGCCATAGCATATTGCCATAATCTCTAGTCCTTAGTAATAAGAGGAATGTGGTGGTCATGTTTTTGCCTATAAGATGTTGGTGGGTAGAGATCTGTCTGTAGTAGAGGCCTGCTGGCAACCATTCTTCAGTTGTGTCCAAATCTGCATCAAAGTTTAGTTCTTTAGGGACTAATCTTGCAAGTTCTGAGGTTCAAGCTACAGTGCTTGAAACTTGTGACTGGGCCCTTAATTGTTAAGGTTCGGTGTTTACTATAGAAACAATTTTTATCCCCTTCTTACATGGACACTCTTAATTAAATTTTAAATGCATTTTTTAAATTCTCTTTTGTTTGAAACACCTTACTCAGAACTTGGATGTATTTTTGTTTTCTTACTGATTGCATTCTTTTCCAACTGATACACACTGATAACTGTGTTTCTAATGGAGCTAGAAATTAACATAGATTTTGCTTAGCCTTTTCCATGGGTTGGTATCATTGATGATACTAGCTCTTTTATTAAAAATTTCTATTACAGTGTATTCACAATCCTCAGTCATGGATGAGGACACACGTACTGGGTGCTGTACAAACATAAACATGTAAACTCTTGTTTTTTATATAAATATTTCACTGGCAGAATGGTGGATTTCCTCTTTTCAAAAAGTGGGATTTCCTTCCACTGTAATTATTTTAAGGTGGGAAAAATTTTACTCTAAATTATTTGATAGACCATCTGGTGTGTTTTTTTCCTTCTGAGATATTTATATACAGAATATTTGGAGTTGGTCTCGCCTATGATCCTTGCTGGCAATCTACAATTAAGTAGAACCAACAAGTAGCACATCAGATAACATTTTCATTGTGTTCTGTAAAGCAATGATTTTGCGGCCTGAGTCAAGAATATAGTCTGGCATGTATTTTGTCCTCTATATAAGTTTGCCTTTCTAAAACCTTAGTTAAATCTGACATCAACAGAAATGTTCTTATGATTGTTTTTTATTTCCTGTGTAAATAGTTTTGTAAAACAATCTCCTTCAGTGTTTGCAACCCCCACATTTTGCAACTTGCAAATCCATGAAAACATGAAAGGGGAACTGACTATAAATGAAAGTTAAACTAATAGTGTATTTTCATTGTCCAAGTTGACGGAAACGTGAAAAGTAAACAAACAGCAAAAAGGGTGAAAGGGAAATTAATTTTTTTAAATTCTTTTGGTCTAAATAATCTGAGCTGCTAATAGCCTTGACAGATTGTAAATTTTTAATTTAAATATATGTGTGATTATCTTCAATATGGCTAAAAAAAAAGTGGTTCTGGCCTTCTGTGATTTGATGCAGATGAATGGAATGGTACAGACAAGGAAGTCAATTTTTTTTAATTAATTAATACTGGTTGTATGACTTTCGATTGTGGAATGCAGAGATCGTTGGTAATTTTTTGACATTTCAAACGTTTCTGAATATTATAAAAAAAGAAAAGCACAGCAGAATAAGTTAAGGTGTTGGGTATCTCAGCGGGTTTGGATTTTTTCACAGCAACTGTTTAGAATCATTATGAATCTGAAACATAATGTGTAAAAATTTCTTGTTTATCTTTTGGTGGTTTTCTAAATTTTCTAGTACAATGTGGTATGTGCAAAGCTAAGCACAACCGAAACCATGTTCTTGACCATTTGCTAGCAGTGCAGCTTAGAATGAGATCAGTTTCTGAAATTAAAACCTTTAATAGTATTAAATCCTTTTGTCATGTGTTGCATAAAGATTTCCCCTTCTCACTAATGAGCAGGTAGACTACTTAATATTCTTCTGGGAAACTTGTCATCTGAGCACCCTTCTCCTGGCCCCTTTTATTGGACAGATATCTCATGTCTAGGGCACTGAAGGTGTTAATGACAAAAAGAAGTTTATGATGTGCAGTCATTGCAGTGTGTCAGCTGGAATATCAGAAGCTGAATTTGACAAGATGGCAGCAGTAAAGTTTTCCATGTGTAGGCTTGAAGTAAAATGTAATTAGCCTTTATGCACAGAACAAGGATCCATTGATGAATACAGCTGGTCTTTGTTTTCTTCTGTCATTGAGTGTGGGAGGTAAAAGTGTTCTTCTTCATGTTTATTAATGCAAGATTCCTTAGACAAATGGCAAGCACAGTTTAATATTTGTTGGAACATAGAGAGGCTTGCCAAAACAGTTGTGTAAGAGGATTTCAAGGTTTTCAGATTATAATCATGTCTGGGTTAAATAAATGAATGATTGCTCTGCCTTTTTCAATTAAAGAGGCACATCCTCTCTTGAAGCCTAATACTGATTTTGTTTGCGGTCTCACACGTTTCTATCAGCAAACCTGGATTTAACCAACACTAATGAGTTTGATCTGGAGATTCTATCAAAGCTGGAACAGAAAAAGCAAACTTGGAGCTTGAGTTCCTGTCAAATTAAAGAAAAGCTTTTTTCCTAGTGAAAACAGACTGTTTGTCTGTGTAGGAAAAGAAATGCTCTACATGTATTTCCTTGTTTTTTCTGCAGAACACACATTCTACTCATATCCTCTTTCGCTTCTGTTTTGGTGCTGCACACTCCAACAAGTGTTTCAGATTCCTAACTGACTTGTTAATGCTCTGTCAGCCAAAGTGCTGGAATTCAGTTTTCAGTGAACTCCAGATCCTCCACTTTGCTCTAACACTCCTTCCCCGACAACATACGTGAATTCTAACTGGGAAAGGACCTTCAATTCTAACAAGCCTACTGTGTGTGCTTCATTACTGTTAACATATGGGTTGAGGTGCCTTTGATGAAAGAAAGTATCACTGAAATACCACACTCCTGGTAAATTCTAAATAGTCTTATGAGGATTTTAGATACTGTACCTGTTCCTACAATAGGAAGCTTCCATTAAAAATAAAATAACAAATTAGAGAGAGAAACTCAGGTCAACTGTACAGTCATGCTCCTTGTCCGTGTGACTTTTCTTAGGACCTTTAGATTTTGTAATAATCTGTAAGGGAGTGTTTACTGCAAATTCAATGCAGAAGAAGGTTTTGACATGTATATCCGGGATAAACTTAAAATAAATACCTAGTGATAGTGGGCAACACAGTATGGGGAGGTGGTGAGCAGCCCTCGGTGGTGAAAGAACAAGTTAAGGACTATTTAGAAAAGCTGGATATGCACAAGTCCATGGGTCCAGATCTAATGCATCCGAGAGTGCTGAGGGGATTGGCTGATGTGATTGCAGAGCCATTGGCCATTATCTCTGAAAATTCGTGGCAATCCGGGGAAGTTCTGGACGATTGGAAAAAAGCAAATATCGTGCCCAGAAAAGGGAAGAAGGAGAACCTGGGGAACTACAGACTGGTCAGCCTCACCTCAGTCCCTGGAAAAATCATAGATCAAGTCCTCAAGGAATCCATTTTGAAGCTCTTGGAGGAGAGGAAGGCGATCAGGAACAGGCAACATGGATTCAGCCAGGGCAAGTCAGGCTTGACCAACCTGATTGCCTTCTATGATGAGATAACTGGCTCTGTGGATATGGGGAAAGCAGTGGACTTGATATATCTTGACTTTAGCAAAGCTTTTGATACGGTCTCCCACAGTATTCTTGCCAGCAAGTTAAAAAAATATCGATTGGATGAATGGACTGTAAGGTGGATAGAAAGCTGGCTAGATTGTCGGGCTCAACAGGTAGTGATCAACAGCACGATGTCTAGTTGGCAGCCAGTATCAAGCGGAGTCCTCAGGGGTTGGTCCTGGGGCTGGTTTTGTTCAACATCTTTATTAATTATCTGGATGATGGGATAGATTGCACTCTCAGCAGGTTCGTGGATGACACTAAGCTGGGGGGAGAGGTAGATATGCTGGAGGGTAGAGATAGGTTCCAGAGTGACCTAGACAAATTGGAGAATTGGGCCAAAAGAAATCTGATGAGGTTCAGCAAGGCCAAGTGCAGAGTCCTGCACTTAGGATGGAAAAATCCCATGCACCGCTACAGTCTGGGGACCGACTAGCTAAGCAGCAGTTCTGCAGAAAAGGACCTGGGGATTACAGTGGATGAGAAGCTGGATATGAGTTAGCAGTGTGCCCTTGTTGCCAAGAAGGCTAACGGCCTATTGGGCTGCATTAATAGGAATGTTACCAGCAGACGAGGGAAGTGATTATTCCCCTCTATTCGGCACTGGTGAAGCCACATGTGGAGTATTGCATCCAGTTTTGGGCCCTCCACTACAGAAAGGACGTGGACAAATTGGAGAGAGTCCAGCGGAGGGCAACGGAAATTATCAGGGGGCTGGGGCATGTGACTTACGAAGAGAGGCTGAGGGAACTGGGCTTGTTTAACCTGCAGAAGAGAAGAGTGAGGGAGGATTAAAAGCAGCCTTCAACTACCTGAAGGGGGGTTCCAAAGAGGATGGAGCTTGGCTGTTCTCGGTGGCAGATGACAGAACAAGGAGCAATGGTCTCAAGTTGCAGTGCGGGAGGTCTAGGTTGGATATTAGGAAACACTATTTCACTAGGAGGGTGGTGAAGCACTGGAATGGGAATTTCCATCCTTAGAGGTTTTTAAGGCCTGGCTTGACAAAGCCTTGGCTG